AATAAGCAAAACTAAAATCTTTCTGCTGCTACAAAGTAAAAATGAATATTTTGCTGTTTTGAGTCCTTTATTCCTGTTAATGAATGTCCATAAACAATTTGCTTTAATTTTTTTTTTTTTTTTGCCTAAAGCTCTAATTTTGTTATCTTACCAATAAACTATTATGTCAACCTTGTGTCAGTTTTGAATTATATCACAGCAATTGCTGCTGGGAAAATATTCTGAGCAAACAAATCTCTGTTGCTCTCGCACTTTTTGTTGTATTTTGTATGGCCATTTAGTAATTCTGATTTCATATTGAAATTGTGCTATGGAATTTATGTACATTTAAAGCAATTGATAATTACCTTGGTGAAGTCCTAGGATTATATTTCATTAAACTAGTTAATTTATGAAACTTACTTAGTTTTAAGCAATACCTGGAAAAAACATTACACAAGTTTGTAACTCAAGCAAAGCAGATGAAGAGAAAGCACACACTGATAAACTGGAATTTGTAACACTATTCAGGAGTAAAAATATATGCAAGTCACTCAAAGGATTGTAACAGTGCCTTAACCAACACAAGACCTTGACATACCCTAAGGCCTACCTATAAGATGTAGGACACTTGACTTGAAAAAAAAAATAATAGCCACTGCTAGTAACAGCCTCAACTACCGGTAAAGCCCAGTTACAAGTATGTTTTTAGATCATAGCAAATGTTACTACTATATGAAACCCTGACACTCATTTCACTTAAGCCCGTTTTGTTGGTCCACATTCATAAATTTCAGGGACATACAGATAAGAGCTGGAGTATGCATGTGTAATAAAACTAATATAATCTGAGATTCACTCCCTTGGCTTTCAGCTGCCTTACTTCAAAGAATTTCCCAGAAACTTTCTAAACACAGTGTTAAGGATAACTCTGTTCAGGAATATTTCAGAGAAGAATATATTTAGCTGAGAATTACTACTTTGTCTCAGGAATCTTTGCAAAGAGACATCTTTCAGCTTGAACGAGTGCCAGCTATGCTAATTATGAAAAACTTGTGAGGCACAATTGAAACTACACTGCAATATTAGGTTAAAACTGCTTCAGTAAGTACTTCAGATACTTCATCCAAACAACACTTCTCCTCTGGAAAAGTTCGAGTCTTAGCCTTCTAGGTTTAGGAAAAAAGTTGCTCTTACAGTACAATTACTGAGCTGAATTATGGCTAACCCTCCGTAGATGTATTTGCATGGAAGAAAGACAGTCTAGGTTCTCAAAAGCACAGCTAGGATTTAAGCAATAGGCACTGATGTTTCCATTGTTTTTCAAGAAGTTAGACGTATAACTACTTCATATTCCTTAAAATCTTCCCCTAAGCAACAAGAACTTAACGAAAGTAGGAACGTTTTATCCTCTGGAAATAACAGCTTGAATTTACCATTGAATTTGGACCAAATCATATCATTGACTGTTATGTCCCAATATATCCTAAAGTTTAGTAACAGTATTATGCAGAACAAGTTAATTTTATCATTTTCTATTTGACTGCAATGTTGAATTGAATGCCTCTTGAAATTTGTTGGTTTTTAAATCAGAAAATATTGCTTGTGTTGGACTAAAAAGATCTGTGTTGCAAGATTTTAAATTGCTAAGATTTATTTCACTTCTTGCTAGCCAGACTTCACCTAATAGATCAATGTGTATATTACAATAGTGCTGGAATATCTGAATAGTCATTTTAATAAAAAGAGAAGAGTAAATAAGCATAGGGAAGAAAGGTTGTTTTATTTCAACAAGAATCTGTTACAAGAACTGTCCTGGTTAGTGTTTCTGGTAAAACTCAACTTCGAGTTAAACCAGATAGGAGCCAATTTGTTGGGAAAGGAGTTCATTTGCTAGAACACCAATCACATGCAGGCAGCCAGCAACTTGATTACCCAAATAATGGTATTATTGATCAGCAGTTCCTTTGATCAAATGTCCTGTCTATGCCTCTTGATCAGAAATTCTGGCTTGTTTGTTTTTTTTCTTCATATGTTTGTTCTTATTTGCATCTTTTGGAGTCAGATGAATCCAAATTGTTTAGCTTGTGCCTTTTGATTCTGTAACTCCAACTGCATGTCTGGACACATGCATTGATCTGTGTTACCTACTGATGTCCCCCATTGTTGGCAAATTTGGCTATTTGATTTTGTATAATAGTTTGGAATCCAAATGGTAACTTAATAAACACAAGAAGGATTATTTGTTTCACATATGAACAGACAAAACCACCATTATTTTTTCTGTATTTCATACGTCTTAATTTTTGGTACGTTTTTTCAACATCAGGGGTAAGTGTGATGGTTTAACCCAGAAGCCAATAACTAGGACCATGCAGCCACTCGTCAGCAGCTAGGACCGTGCAGCTGCTCACTCACTCCTCCCACCCCCCCAGCGGGATGGGGAGGAGAATGGACAAAAAGTAAAACCCGTAGGTTGAGATAAGGCAGTTTACTAAGACAACAAAGGAATTATGATGATGGTGGTGATGATGATGATAATGATGATGAAGAATATGCAAAACAAGCAATACAAGATACAGTTTTTCTCACTGCCCAACGACCGATTGCGCAGCCTGTCCCCAAGCAGTAATCACAGAACTCGTCGAAACTCGCGTAACTGGTGTATTCGCACTCCCCAGCCAGCCCCCATTTATAGACTGAGCATGACATCTCTGGTATGGAATATTTCCCCTGGCCAGCTTGGCTGTCTGTCTGATTATGCTCCCTCCCAGCTCCTGCACACCTGCTCATTAACCAAACATGGGAGACTGAAAAATGTCCTTGATTTCTTAACAACAACTAAAAATATCAGTGTGTTATCAACATTCTCGTACTAAATCCAAAACACAGCAGCTACTGGGAGGAAAATTAACTATCCTAGCTGAAACCAGGACAGTAAGGCACAACTGTTTATGCCAGAAAAAACAAGTTACAGGCCTGCAATTTTGTACTGTCAGAATGTCAGTATTTGAATGGAATCATTATACCTTTGGTCTTATAACCTTCAGTACCAAACAAGACACGTGCAATATGTATGTAGACATTCAACACTAACTCAGATTCTTTTGGAACAACCTATGATTTCATTCAAAGTCAATATAAAAGCTTATGTTCAGTAGATCTGTATTAAAAACCTGGGCAATATAAACAGAGGCATAATTTTGTTTCTTTTTTTTTTACTAGCTAATCTACAAAGTGCAGTTCTTGTCTTAAAGCTGTATCAATATTTTTGTATTGTGATCTAAAAAATGTTACCCACTTAGTATCTTAACCCTACCAAAATAAAATTGTCTTATTAGCCTATTTGAGGGTGATCAAACATTGGAATAGGTTCCCCATAGAGGCTGTGGAGTCTCCATCTTTGGAGAAGTTTTGTCTGGGCACAGTCCTGGGCAGCCTACTCTAGGTGACCTTGCTTGAGCAGGGTGTTGAACTAGATGATATGGAGGGTGCCCAACAATTCTGTGAATCTGGGTAATCTGAAGATGAGAATTTATATTCCCATCATACAGTCTCTTGACATTAAGAGTGGGATTTTTCTTTTTTGTATAGCATACCTACTTTAAAATTTAAGTAGAAAATTAAAAAAAAGATCCAGCAATGACTCCATAACCAAACTGAGTCTTTCTGATAAAGCTGTCATAGAACTGATTGTAATAAAACCTGTTACAGAAAGGCTGTGCTCATCTCTCCAGTCTGTTACAATAACTGACGGTGTGATCCATTGGTAGAAAACTCTATTTCACTTGCTATTTCTGCATTGTTTTTAACCCTGTGATTGCTACTAAAAAATGAACAAATGCATTAATTATGCTGATAAGCATAGGAGATTAATAAGAAATTAAAAGTCAGTGGACTAAAAGGGATTCAAGCATGATAACCTGGTCAAAAATTGAGGAGTATGTCAGAATATCTGTAAGACATGCCATAAGCAAGATATTCAGAGAGTGTATGAGCCCATGACCTTACTGCAAACCACAGCTGGGCTACCTGAGTTGTTATAACTGTGTGGAAATAATAGCAGTGTCTTTCAAGTCCTCAAACAATGAGGTTAGTCTTAATAGCCAGAAAATCAGATGAAGCTCCCTAGTCCTAGGAATGTCTAATCTGGCGCCACTCTGAAGATCCGTCTTCTTATTTTCTGTCTGTCAAAAGGCCTTCTTTACTGGTGTATGAAAGCACATGGCAGAGGACGTGCTTATAAAAATTAACTCTATGTATATGCAATTGCATTGATTGGTTCCTTTAACTCATTTTAAAAGTACATATTTTTAACAAAAAATTTGGACTTACTTTCTATGGAACACACTATACTACAGTCCAAGTATTCTGATATGCTGGAATTTGGGAGCTCAGGTCACGCTGCAGCTGTGATCAAGAAGCTATAGTTATGAAATTTTGAGTTGGATTTGTATCGACACCTCAGGACACTTGGCTGGCATCATGGTTGCACAAGGAAAGAGATCAGTGCAAGTACCTATGGCACAGAGGCCTTCATGAGATTCTCCATTGCAGAGCATCAAGGGCTCTTATCAATGCAGAGTAGGCACAGAGAGTAGATGTATTAGTTAACCACTAATAGAACTGGCCAAATGCTAAAAGTGAGCACAGATGATCATCGAAAACATGGTGAAACGTGCACACTAAATTTATATGTTGTAATGCTACTGAAAAAACTGTTCCTTCTGAAATAGCATCATTCCTCACTGCTACCAGTGTCCATGCCTACACGTAAACTGCTCAGCCTTGCCTATAGTGCTTGCCTGCAGCTTGATTTGTAGTTGCAATTTAGACATATCAGATACTGCTCTGGAAAACACATTGGACTAATGCTGGTGAAAGCAGAGTGAATTGAGAAGCAGCTGGATTTTTGAGGAACACTTTCTGTGCTGCAGATCTCTGATTTTTATAAGGACAAACAAGTAAAGACTTATCCTGCTCTCATTACAAAGTAGAGGAATTCACTGGCATCAGATGAGTCCTGCTACCACATGAGAATAATAGGCTTAGAAAAACTGAGACATCTGGAAAGACGGAGTGGAGTAAAAGTCTTACATAGTACGTAACAGTACAAATGGCTAGTGTAAAAGAAGCCCCAGGATGCAGCCAAAAATCTCTTCACTTGGGACTGCACTCACCCAGCTATTCACACTGCATCTGCCCAGTTGCTGAAAATTACCAGCCAGGTGCGCAGTATCTAAAAACTTCTGTCCACTGAAAAGTGACAGTTTAGAGCACTGCTCTTTAGCCCCACTGTCTTTCATAGAAATAAGACAGATACATTACTGTCCATTTTCCACCCACAGAAGCAAAAATTTCACAGAGAAATCATTCAGAAGGAGTCAGAAACAAGTAAAATCGAGATGATGAAAAATAATCCCTTCTTACTCTGTGACTTGGCAAGTTACCTGAACTGTTTATTACCCAGCTGGTCTGAAAGTAAGCTGTGAGATAAGTGTTCTCAGTGTTATGTTATTAAATGCAGGGGTATATTATTAAAGCCCTTCAAAGTCTCCAAATGAAAAGTAGTTCATATTGCTCTCGTGTATTTTTTCTCATGATGTCAGTTCTCTGGATGACTCTGTCCTTTGCTAAAGTCATCTTCAAGGTAGGGTACTGTTGGTCTGCCTGTCAAATTGTTCCTCACCTTCACGCATCCTTGGCAGTGGGCAGTCTCCAGTTCTCACCTTGTAATCTTCTGGCTGGTTCTGACAACTCCCAATTTCTCATTTCTTTCAATGCTGGATCATTTACTTGAATCAGTTCTTTGAAAAAGTGACCTTTTTGCAGACCTCTGATGTATTTCTTCCTTCTCCTCCAGGGAATCCAAGACAAATTGCTTTATTCTGAAGGTCTTCTTTTGCTACTGCATCCCAACTCCTCTGCTTTTTAATCAAATGGAGAGATTGTGCTCTGCCAGACTTGTTTACCAGTATATATTCCAAAAATACCAAGAACCACCATTCTACTTTCTCCCAAATTGCCTTTTATGCACAGGAGGAATTTCTTAAATTAATTTCAGCTCTGAAACTCAGCTGCTGTGCTGTCCCCACTGTTAATGAGCTTTGTCTTCACATGACTGGGAGAAGGACAGAAAGGGCCATGCTGGCTAAAACTGTTTGAAATTGGTTTTCAGCATGCAAAACAAACTGGACATCTCCCGCAGGAAACTGATTGTAGTGTCACTCCCCCTCTGCAGAAATTTAATCTGCCTAGTGAGAATCAGACTCACAGCAGGGGCAGAGGGGATTGACTTTTCCACTTTTTTGAAAAATATTCCTTTTTTTTTTTTCCCAAATTGACTGAGGCTGTTTCATCTGAATTGTCTTTCTTAAATAATTGTCCTAGTAGGAGCAGTACGTTTCACCCTCATGCCATCCTTTGAAAATTTAGGCTAGCTGTTAGCTAGAGAGATGCAGCCTGACATTCTGAACCTACATGCACTGTGAAAAATTGCTTTGGTAAGGTTGTGTTTATAATTTGAGGCAGTAAAATAGAGTTCTTACTAATTGTGTTTAAGATATGATGGAATGTGTAATCCACAGAGAAACTCATTTCAAAAAATCTGTAACCATGAAAACAGCTGTTCCTCTGAGTCATTTTCCCAACGTGCAACTTAAAACAAAGCAGAACAGAGAAAAATCCTCTCCCAGTTGTAACTTACTTGTGTTCATATGATTATGAAGTAGGATAATGCTAGGAATATGGGGAAAAAACAACAGAAAACTCATCTCCACGTTCCTTTTACACCAGAAGTTTGGAAACAGAAAAAAGAGTCTTTGGAGTTAAAACCAAGAGAAAGCTCAATTTTGAAGAAATATTGGCACCTAAACTCAACAATGAACAGCAAGACATGTTTTGATAGTAAAAAATCTTTTGAAAAGGTAAGGATGAGTCTAAGATTAGACGGAATGGAATTGAAGTGATGAAACAAGATACTTCAGTTAAGTACCTGAAAACAAAATTAATGCCACGTATGTGCATGTGTGCATATGTTCGTGGTTGTTGTATAAAGTCGCTGGAAGAGAACATAGTAAGATCTGGTAAAGGAGATGGAGGAAACTGTGCTACATAGAAGGAAAATACAGAAAAAACAAAATGTACTGTAGGCACTACTCTTTCATCAGTAGAAAGCCGAGTGAACAAGTGAACAGCCCTTTTCATATTCTCATTCATGCCACCCAGCTTGTGGAGGGAAAATGTAAGTTCTATAAGGATGAGCCTTATACTGAATTCCAAACAAGATTAATTTTTTTTTTCTTGGGGGGAGGTGGGGGTGGGAAGAACTGAACATTTAATAAGTTTCTATCATATGACTGTTGCAGGGACAAGAATTTAATTTTTGTAGATCTGCAATCCAGAGATGTTGACTTCCCATATTGTATGCCTTGGAGATGCAGAGCTCCAAAGAGCACAAAGATGTGACATGTGTGTGTTTTTTTTATTTGCAGATATCTCAGTAAGCTTGCTCTCCCTAGTTGTCACAGCCTGTGGTCTTGCTCTGTTTGGTGTCTCTCTGTTCGTGTCCTGGAAGCTTTGCTGGATCCCTTGGCGGGAGCGTGGTCTGCCGTTTGGGAACAAAGACAACAAACAAGAATCACTGAACTACACAGATACAGAGACCAATGACCATGACTACAGTGAGGATTATCTGGGTCAGTCTACAGCCTATCCGGAGTCCTCCATGAAGATTAGCCACACCTCCCCTGATATTTCATTAGATGCTCAGGCAGGAACGAAGGAGAACTGCGTACACAATGTGCGAATGCATCGTCAGATCACTGAACCAACCTCTTCTGCTCGGTCAGTAACTCCAATTTCTCTCTGATATTAATGAATAGAGATACAGTCAAAAGAGCACAGCTTGATTATCCAGTACACTGATCTATTAAAAATGCATAATTTACTTGCCACGTTCTTTTTAAAAAAAATTACAAAAAAGTTATTCTTTGAGGTGCACAAACCTCTTAGATTAAAAGGACAGGATCACAATGCTATTCCACCCTTCTATCAACTACTGTCTCATTTGTGCCTCTCCCCCAGAAGCTGGAAAACACAGAGCACTATGTGTCCCTTAAAGCACCAGAACAGCCTAGATTTAGCTTGTAAAGTATATTCATTTGCACTTAGCACTGATGCTGAACACTCAGTAATATCTCCTCAAAGATTTTCAAAACAGCCAATGAAGAAAAGTAGGGCAAGCTAATGAAACACTTGCAAGAGTTAGAAATAGGATTAAAAATCATAGAATTTAGGCACAGTCATGACTGTGGGGGGAAAAGTTAGTGAACAAGAGTCAGTGAGGTCTCCAGGGGAACTGGAGAACCAGCACAGGAGGGAAGAGGAAAGAGGGAGGGTGAGAGTGTGTGCAGGGGCAGGTGATCAAAGGATTATGTTTCACACAGTAAGAAAAAGGATCGGCATGTGAAGAGCCATTAAATTTTAGGTGTCAAAGCACATTGCACTTCAGCTGGAGAAGATACAGCAGTAGCCCGGTTGCTCTTTGCTAGCCTCCGTTCTGGCCATCTAGGAGAGCAAGCTGAGCCAAGACTCTTGCCTGCAGGCACACCTGAACAGGAGTAAGATGACAGCAGCTAGCAGCCAGGTCAGCAATTGCCAGTTGTCCAAAACACGTCTCAGAAAGAATTTGAGAAGCTCCCAGAACAGCATTAATACTATGCAGCAAAAGGTCCAGCTGCCCTTCCTCCTTAGATTAGCATAAGAACAGCTTGGGCTTATATTGTTGTAGGAATCTATGGGGAGGTGAAAGCTGCCATTGTGGATACCAAAGCTTGCACTCTACCACAGGCAAGGTTGGATTCCAGCTAAGGACAAATAGCCCAGAAGTAGAGGACAGGGCTGGAGCTGCTGTGTTTTCAAACTGCTGGGAAATAAGCATGTCATGAAATTCATTAACAACAGAAGATTCATATCTGACTTCTAACACCAAGAGCTCTCATGTGTGTCTTCGATATTGCACAAGTATGGAGTTAGATACCTGAGGCTTTCTCTGCTACAGCAGGGCAGCAATTCTGATACTTAATCAAATGACAAATGCACAGTATCACCACAGCATAGTCATCTCACAAGAAGGAGCAACAATTGCAGTCCGTGGAAGAACTTGCCTCAGCATCCTGAGTGCATGGTCAGTGTCTTCACTCCTGTGAACCTCTGCAGAACTTTCTTCTGGCAACTGTTCCCAGCCTGGCTCTCTCTGGCAGGTGTTACACTGGCTCTGTCCATACGGACATGGCTTGTCCAGGTCCCGCTCCTGCCCTACACCATTTGCTGTTACAGGCTTTGCTCTTTACTCCTCTCTTTCATTGCCCCTTACTTCTGCCCGGATCTTTTCCAGAAGACCCTTTCACTGAGCAGGAGGGGCCCATCATCACTGGACTGTACCCTTCGTTTGTTCACCTTTGTCCCTGCTGCTTTCTGGTATAACTGGGTAGCCAGCTGTGGCTTTCCCGTCTGGCCACAGAGACCAGGCACCTGCCCCTGCTACAGCTGGCTCTCCAGGGCCCTCCTTTTCCTCACCAGGATATTCTGCACCTCCCACTGCTATGAGGAGTTTAAGGGCTGAGCAATATAAGTCTTTCTTTTGTGACATGGTAATATTTTATCATGGAAATGACTAATGTATAGCTATAAGATTATGTATTTATTACGCATCAAGAGAAAAAAATTATGATAGTATATAGGAGGCTGTTCCTGTTTTAAGCATACCTAAACATGTATTTACAAGGAATGAATGAACAATGATAGCAGAGGAACTACTGCTGATTACATTCAACGTAAATAGCTTTAGACTAATCCTGTGCTAGTATTTTCCACAGGCTTTTTCTATGTTCAACCAAAGCTCATGGTACTCTAATACACTGAATAATTACTGCATATGAATAGGACAAAAAGGTGGAATCCGGCTTGTATAAGATGAGGATTTTACCTAATCCAACTTTCACATCCCACTACCCCAAGAGAGTTTGCAAATTTGATTTCTATTATCATCACTTGAAGTGGAAATTTCAATCACAATAACTAGTGACTCCAGGTAATAAATTTCACTGGACCGAAGCTAAAAGCAACTTTCTTTCCTCAGAGTAATGAAACTAAAGGAGCTTTTCAGCCAAAGTACCACAGAGCTTATTACATCAGGTATAAGAAAAAAAACCAAAACAATTGTTGGGGTGGTCAACAAACCATTTCAGATGAGAACAGATCACTTGTAAATAAAGTAGTCGTAGAGATCAACAAGTAATTAAAATGCAGAAATGTCAGGAAGCATCTTCCTTTGTCCAGCTTTATCTTAGAACCAGAAATCAGCAAATTCAGCTGGCATAATCGGCCAGATCCTACTTCCATTTACATAATGCAATTCATTTCATAGGCTTTATCAAAAAGAATCAGTTGAAAACGGTAACTGATAAGAACACCTACAGTTCTTATCACATTATACTTGCCAATGAGGCACACCCTTTGGATTTGCAATGGCCATGAATTTGCGTTTGTTGCTTTCTTGAGCCAGGTTTGGAGAGTGCGTACCACTAGCTTGAGACATAAGAACAGAAAATTGATATTAGCAGTCTGATGCTGAAGGTGAGCTCTCACAATTGTTGGTTATCATGCTTTATCACTTTATGCAAGTAAAAATCTGACTCCATCGTATGTTACAAAAACATGTCAAATGAGAACAGGATCTTTAGTGTGTGTGCACAGATTCTTAGCATCTTCAACACAATCTATTTCAATTTTTTCGCTTAAGGCATAATTCAATCCGAAGACAGCTCAACCTCTCCAACCCTGACTTCGACATCCAGCAGGTTCAGAAACAGGAGCAACTGACGGGGATTGGCCGCATTAAGCCTGAGCTATATAAACAAAGATCTGTGGACACAGACGATGGCCGGAGGAGTAACAGCAAGGCATGTGGAAAACTGAACTTTATTCTGAAATATGATTGCGATTTAGAGCAGCTGATAGTGAAGATACACAAGGCCATCAACCTGCCAGCGAAGGACTTCTCTGGAACTTCAGATCCATATGTGAAGATATATCTGCTTCCTGATAGGAAAACAAAACACCAAACTAAAGTGCACAGAAAGACCCTAAATCCAGTATTTGATGAAGTTTTTTTATTTAGTGTCCCATACAGTGATCTGAGCGCAAGAAAACTCCATTTCTCTGTGTATGACTTTGACAGATTCTCCAGACATGACTTGATTGGCCAAGTGATAGTGGATAATTTTTTAGATTTGGCAGATTTTCCCAGAGAATGTAATATTTGGAAGGATATTGAATATGTCACCAATGTAAGTATTATAATTTATATTCTTGAGATTTTTTTGTTTCTGATTTTATTTCCTTAGTCTGATTATAATTTAAATTGTCTGATAAATTTATGAAGGGAATACTCTATTCTGTCTCTTTCTCAAGCTTTGACCTTAATCCAAAGAAATGGACAGTACATTTTCAGTCCTCATTTCTCATTCTTAGGATATATTAAAGAATGTCTTATGTAGGAGATAGTGGGTTTAGTCATTGCCCTGCTGATAGGGTAGAAAAGCTGGAGAATGTTTTTCTCGTAATCTTACTTAATCTAAAACTTACTTAAGGAAATACTACTGTTCTTATTTTGCCTGTCTGTCTGTGTTTTGCATGATTTGCCACATAAATTACAGCATACAGATCAGCCAGAACTGCAGATTCAAGATTTCTTAGGTAGTGGTCTTCAATCCTAGAGACTGTGTTCTCAGTGAGATAACACCACGTCTATAATCCGGGCAGAATGCAGACAATGCTGTTCGAAACACAAGTGTCATCGGTCACCCTATAAAAATTAAAGCTATAAAAACTACAAAGCCTTTACAAACTTAAAAAAATAACAGCCATCTCAGCATGTGTTCCATGAAAGCAATGAAAGACAGTGAATTGGTTTAACTCTTTGTTTGGCATCACTTTCTTACTTTGGGAAATGGGAAACTTACAAAATTATTTCTGTTGTCCGATAGTCTCTGGTATCAAATTCTACACAGGAGTCCCATTAGTGATTAGGTACAAATCCATAAAAATTACTTTTGGAAAAGAAAGATCTTTCTTCTCTTCTCAAAGCATGAGCCAACCTCCTTGTAGTGCTACTAGGAATTAATCCCACGCATCCTACTGAGAACAGACCTTCAGTGAGAATGATACGTTACAGAAATCCACAAAGGTGAAGCTGCTAGTGCCAAGAGTCAGTAAATATGTCATTTGCTATGTCAAACCATACTCAAATGGAGTGCACATTTTAAAGTCAAATAAACTGAACATCATTAACAGTAAGATCAAAGTGTAAGTTTGTTAGACCTCTGTTCAGGAAAGCATTTAAGCATATGCTTAGCTGAAAGTAAGAGGCTGTTAAAAAGTAAAGGATGTTCTGAGACAAATACTTTCCTGAATTCAGACCCTCACCTTGTACCTCTGTGGTCTGGCAGCATGCCTGTATTACAGGCCAAATGGATTAAACTCATTTTTTTGTTTGGAATTTCTTTTTGAAAATTGATATTGTCCTTGTTCTAAGGTGATTTACCAGTGTTCTTAGTCAGTGTTACGTACCCATGTGTGGAACATGCTGCACAAACCCCTTCCACAGTAGACTGGAACTGCAGCAGCAGCACTAGCAGTTCCCTCACTCCAGGTACAGGCAGGTGAGTGGACACTCAGTGTCAGAGAAGGATGAACCTGGCTTTTCTATGAGAAGTTACTGTTCTTCTACTGCAAGGGAAAAGTAGAAATCTGACAGAGCAGATGATAGTCATTCCAAGTGAAAGTCTGCCTACGTACAGCATTAAGTGTCCCACACACAACTTTCCCATTTTACAGCCAAATGAAAATTGAATGCAGATGCACGCTGGAGTTTCTTTGGTGTGTACTAGTCCTTTTTCCATGCTTTAACTTAGGCAAAAGGTTGGCTCTGGTATTGTCTTTTTAATCACTTTCCCTTCCAAATTTCGGAAGTGATGCAGCCTGTAGTTTGTATTCAGATTTTCTGTAATCTCTGAAATTAAATTCAGGACTGAAACGTGAGTCATTTATTAATTCCTACTAGTATTAATTCCTGTGTGAAGTGTAACCCTGTTTATCCAAACAGAACACAAGACCTGCTATCTAGACTTGTCTCTGGTTTTTCAGCTAACAGAGACCTTTTCAAAGCAAATGACTCATAGTACATAGGAGACACAGTCCAATTCCAGCTAATGTGAGTTCTGAGATAAGAGTATCAGATAAATGAAAGTGTGGAGAACTCAGCTTACTAATTAACATTTCCGAAATTTCAAAGGTTAGAACTTACTCCATAAAGTTACGAGAAACCCTTCAAGCATCATTTAAGAAAGCAAGTTTCAGCACGTTTCCTTGTCTGTGTAGCTTAGATATCTCGCAGACTGACAGCAGAAACTGAATCCTGCGGGCTACTCGGTGAAGCTGCTGAAGTGAATATTTCTGTGGCTGCACTCCAGAGCAGGCCAGCAGGCAGTATTAGTGAATCTCTGATGCAGATTTTAGAAAGGTTTTGAGCACCATTAGGCAGTTTATGGTGGCAGACAGAAACTGTATCAACTGTAGCAGGTTTTTAATCATTTGATCTTTGAACATCTTGTTGTTTCAAATAATAATAATTACAAAACAGACAAATGCTGGGCAAACTTACTGCAGGAAATTCACTCATTGTAGATCACCAGAGAGTGCAGCACAGGAGGGCTAAACCAAGGAAATGTACTAGACAAAGGGAAGGTCTGCACAACTACACCTGGCAAGTTTGTCATACTTCTGAAGAGTACATTCATTTTAATTTCTTGTGCATTTTATTACACTGCATAACCAGCAATCCTAAAGGCCTTTATTTTGCATTCTTCTTTTTACTATGTTCTAAACCAATTTGACACAGTAATGTAAAAGAATGTTATCAAATCCTTCTCTGCCCAGCAAAATGGCTTACTTCAAGTGAGCACTGCAGATTATGCCTAAAATGTCAGCTTTACTGCAAACAATGCCATTAAATTGATCTATTATGCCATGTGCTTTCTTCTGTTTTCTAATAATACAGAAGATTTTTTTATCCAAAACCAACAGTTTTGATTTTTTGGACTATAACATCTGCTACCATCCCAGAGTTTGAAATTATTTCATAACACAGACGCATGTCAGTATAAAAATTTTCTACACATTCAAAAGCAATCTGCCTCCAAACACAAATCTCCAATATCAGAATGATTGTTCTTCTAATCCCAGGTCCTCTGAGCATAAAATCTCTTTCCTGTAACACTGACACTTTTTCCAACCAGAAAAAAGCAGCAGTGGGCTGTTTAATGGAAGAAATAATTAACTGGACCAACTTTAGATGAACATGAAATGACCTAGATAAGGTTTTTATACGTCTGCCAGACAGATTACACTGGTTTCTGGCTCATTAAGAAGAAAAGATACTCTTTATTTTCAGTCTGGGTTTCAGTAGTTGGAATGTTTTGTTTAGTAGTCTCTAAAGTAGGTGCAGAGTTTGGGGTGGGTTTTTTATGTTTGTTTTTGTAATGTTCATAGACTTATGGCATGTTTTGAAGAGAAAAGAGTTGTTAGTATTTCCTCGGTTGCCATCTTCAAACTCTAATGTGATAAGGCAAAAATACATGACTTTGTCACAAAATAAACAACTGCAAAGGACAGGAAGCTGTCAGACAGTCCATTTCAGATAAAGGAGAACCTTCTTTTTCAGAAGATGCTAAGTATCCACTTGCATAACTTGCTGTGCACCCAGAAATTAAAATCTTTTCTCAAGAACTGCTTGTTAAACATCCCCAGGCAGCTGTAGGGCACAGTGAAGGATTTCTGTGAACTGGACATCTAGCTCTGGTTCATCCTGGCTGTTTGGATTCTCACAATGCTCGGCCTTTGGCACTTGCTAAGCAGGTCAGCTTTCTAGACAAGAGGAGTATTTAAAAGTGGCCTTCACTTAGAGCAGAGTCATAATAGGACTAAGAAAGAACAATTTCCATTCTTTGCTGGGCGAGCATTTTCCAAAATGACTACTCATTTTAGGAGGCAAATTTGTGACTTTGGTCTTACAGTATATATAGCTTTTGACTATATCTTTTCTGTTGTTAAATATAGTTATACTTGAGATCTAGGCATGGTACAATGAAAACTGTTCTTTTTCCGAATGTCTAAGCTCATATGCACAATTTAAAAAAGAAAATCTTATTCATAACAACCCATTGGCACCTTTCTCTCATCTCACCCCAAGACTGAACATCGCAGACTAACCTGTCTTTGTGAATCTTTACATAACTTTCTATTCTCAAAGGTTATTTGCAACAAGATTTGTAGTGATTATGCATCTACTATTCTAAAAATTCTAGCTACCATATTGACTGCTACCATTTATCATTATCTTGTGGTTCCTTTGAGGTTCTTTGCTGTATTCACCTCCTGTGAAGGTGTGAAGTAAATTGAAACTGATAAAGGTGAAAGCAGTTGGTCAGATTCAAACCATGGTTTATTCTTTATCTGCAAACAATCGGAGTACTAGAAAGGATTCAAAAAGTTACTCTGTTTTGAATATGAATATGAAGTACTTCTGATCTTGTTTCTAGCTAAACGTTGAACAGGGTAGCATCCAGCTGCCAAAGTTAAAAAACAATATATCAGAGCACGAAACTGAAAATATGGAAGAAAAACATTTCTGAAAGAAAGAGAGAATAGATTACAGGAAGAAAATTCTATAATACATATAGAATTTGAGAAGTAACATGTCAAAGACTTCAAAGAATGTGTACGGTTCACTGAAAATGCAAAAGATAGTTACAGAGAGTTCAAAACTATAAGGAAACATGAGCTGTGTATCAAGTTGTTAACTCTGGCCTCCAGAAAGAGCCAGCATATGCTAGAAGTTGCAAAGCCAAGAAATTGATTGCATTTGTTTTTAAGAATGTTCAAGATGTTTTAGGGTATGTGATGTAGTGGTCAAGAATACAACAGTGTGTCAGATGATGCTGAATTGCGTTTGCAAGGAAGCAGTAAACAAAACTGTATTTAAAAAAAAATAATTGAAGTTGCATGTTGGTATACATGCTAGTATTTTGACAAAGAGATTTACGAAGTAGGATGGTTATAAGCATTTTAAATTCTGCATTCTAGAAATGCTAATTGTTCACTGCTGCTGTTCGCAGGTTTGCCCGAGATAAAGATTTGAGAATTTGTATTTTTAGGCATTTATGTTGTATAACTGAGATGCAGCTGGAATCATAGCATCACCAGAAGGAAGTTTCAAGTTCCCTGTTTC